CGGCTGAGGCGGCGAGGGCGGCGGGGGAGTGCAGTCTAATGACGGTTAGGGTGATTAGGGCGTCGGCCTTGTGGTCATGATCCAGTAAAAAATGAAATCGAGATATTGCCAACTGCAAGCCACTTAAAACTGTAGTTCGTCCTGCGTGCCTACGTCTTGTTATTCACCCCTGTGATATCGTCTTCTGTTCTCTCGCTCCAGCTCTGGATTTTGTGTCGTCTCTGCGATGTATGTTCGCGCGTGCACCTGTCGCCGATGTCACCGCACGCAGCACCTTTGTCTCGGCAACAGGTGAACGAGCTTTACCTGCTCTGGATTTCGAAGGGCACCCCCAGAATGTGCACAGGTGGAATGCTCTAATTTCGTGTTTATACCTTATGATATTTCCAGTCTTGCAAATTCAATAGTTCTTGGCTGGGGAGCACTATCTACAAGTTTCAAATTATAATTTATTTACTGTCACAACATAGTAAGATCAAATATGTTGTTCACGTATGTATAATGTGCTCATTGGAGGCAGCGACAAAGAGCGCAGATACATGATGATAGTTGAGTTGACCTGATATGTGATTTTTACCTTTTAGACTATGAAATAGATTCTAAATAACGCGACAACATATAATTAAAAACTTTCTGCAGAAACATTTTTATTGCAATGTATTTGCTTCTTTCTGATGTGAATTAATGACAATAAATTCGGGAATTTTTCAGAAAAACATTATGAGTGTATTTTTATTTATTTATTTATTGTTTTATAGCCTCTGGGCGGTATTTTACGTCTGCGCCTTTCAGGGTAATAACGGTGACGCAGTAATGACCCAGAAGTTACAGCCATATTTTCGGAGTTATTCCCAGCGTAAATCCATTAGCAATTTTCGTGGCCTCTCCATGACATTTTCTATTTAATAGCCTAAGGTGTCTTTATTCTGCACTTTACCACTGGTTTTTATAGAGGTTTTCTCCGCCTTTCTTGCCTGTGAGTTTTTGTGAAGAGTTTTACGCATGAGAGTTCGAAGAATGAAACCCATAAGAACAAAGCGAACATGAAACTATTTATTTAATACAAATTAATTTTTTTTTCAGAAGGCAGTAAATATCAGACATGATGACTCATATATTGGAATAAATTAATAGCTTTGCTACATTATTTACTCATATTTTCAAAAAACAATAAATATTTGGTAATAAAATATTCTGTTACAGTCGTTTTCCGCATATTTCTGTGGTAGCAAATATTTTCTCCCCTGTATTACTCTAAGCGTGATGACTGCCCGGAGTGAAAGAAACAGGAACATTTTTTAGTTGAATACTAGTGATAGTTTAGTAATTATTGTTTTGTTTTATTTTCGTATTAGTGTAAAGAGAGGTAAAGTAACTTGTCATGTATATAAACTGAAAGTATAAAAGTGGAGAAATGAGAGTGCATTTCGCGACTTTTTTCAAATTATTGATTGTACGTGCGAGAGAAAATTAAAAATCACGAATACCAGTAAAGCGTGTGACTCTTCCATCAATTAATGCGGAAGTATGCAACGCGGCCTCTCTCTATGATACAGAACTTCGATCAAACGCGATTACGACGTACAATCAAAGCAGTTCACTATAGGAATATGAGCACAGAGCGCTAACACTGCACGGAGACCTCATTGCACTCATTGTTTCTACTTGGAATCGATGCGTTTGACCAGCTCCACTCTCCCATCTGGCTCCGCTTACGCGTCACCGACACGTGACGAGCGGCGCGTCACAATCTCATTGCACCCATGGCTGCCACTTGGAATCTGGCCGTTTGTCCGATGACACTTTGCGAGCAGCAAGACACCGTTATTAGCTTCCTCATCCGCCTCGCCGTTTCGGCGTGTCCAACTCAATCAAGACACAGAAGGCTAATGAGGACAAACGGCCCTGCGCCGCCGCCTCCGTCCACCCCCGCGGGCGAGAGCCGCCCCGCCCCCGATAACGAAGCGGCGGGAGGCTCGCTGCCAAGCTGCGCGAAGGTGTGGGCCCAGCCACCTGGGTTCTGGCAATTAAGGCCCCGGGGCACAGAGGTCGGCCCGGTCCGCCGAGTGGTACACCACGTCTCAGTTAACGCCCGCGGCGGAGAGGTGAACGTTGTTGGAACGCTCTGCTCGCGGGACGACGTGTGAGGTGGGCGGAAGAGACGTTTATTGGAACAGTGACAGGGCGTCATTGCAATTTTCTTTGTCACGTAATGATAAGAAAAACAGCCTTGCACCGGGAGGTTGCATAAGCAATCCCAAAAACTATCCTCTGGAAATTACTCGCAACGAAAATTGCTCATGTGATGACTGCGCATTTTTTTTTTTTTTTTAAAACCTGTATTGTCGTTGCTTGTCCAACAGAAGGAACTTCAGATTCGACGTTTCCGGCTGTGGGAGTGGGTTTTAGGTTCGAATACCGATACTGCGCGGATTTTTAACACGAGCACAGTTGCTGGACGAATCGGGACTACTGTCACGATGCGAATTTTTTAAAGGTGCTGCTTGCGATCGGTCTTTTTCGATTTTCTCCGCTGAAACGCCTAAATATTGTTCGTTACCGTCCAGTGCCTCATTCCGGTTTTAGGACCGAGAGATGTTGTCTATTCCCCTTCCATCAAGTCCTGTAGGCTTTGATCGACAAAATTTGTCCGAAAAGGGTTTCAGAAATCCTGGAAGAAGCGAATACATTCGCTTGCAGTAGTTTCATAAGTCTCGGTTGGTGAGATAACCGAAATGACCAATAAACAAATACCCTAAAACTCATCCAGTCTCTATATTTCTGTTACCAGCATCACAAAAGCAAAAGTTTGTCTGCGAAAACACTGTAGCCTTATTTTCCTGTTTCAGTCTTATTAATGCAATGGACTTTCTCATATCTGTGTGGTTAATAACTGAGGATGGAAAGATGTTAAAAAATTCTCAATAGTACAAACGCTTTCTATTAATTTTTTCTTACAAAAATGAAAAAACACGTTTGCGTGTTTGCGTTCTCAGCAACAAAATTAATTAATCTGAAGTAAGGGATCACTGACCATAATCACTTCTGCACCGTATGTGACCGAAAACATTTTAAAAATTATGTTAAATGATGCATTTTCTTCCTGCAAGGCAAGGCCCGGAAAGCGTCGAATTTTGAATTCCGTAATTTTTTATGGTAAGCCCTCGTGAATTTCTGAAAGCCCGTCTTCAACACGAAGACGGGAACCGGGGAAAAAAAACCCACTCCCGAACAAAGCCGGCGGCCAATCTAGGAGGCCGTCGAGGGGGCCGCCGATCCGGCGGCTTGCGAATGAGTTGACATCTTCAGCGCTGTTGTCCCACACTCTGCTCCCACTCGCCCCCAGCGGCGGCGCGCGCCGCTCGAATTTGTAGCTGCCCTCTCCGCCCCGTGCCGCCCCAGTGCCGCGGGCCGCGAATTGCCGCGCCACCGCCGCCGGGTACGAAGCGGGAACGAGGGCGCAGGCCCCCGCCTCCGCCCCCCTCCCTCAACTTTCTAACGTCCTCCCACCCCACGCCTTTCGTCCATTCATCGCCATCCCTACATTCCCCTCGCGCCTCCTCAACACCATTGCACCGACGTTGCCCACTCTCGGCCTCTGGTCGGTTCACTCTCGAACCACTCTCGCCACTTCTTGGCCATTGCCGCCCACACAACTCGCCCACCCCTCGCCAACACGGCGTCCGTCCTCGACCACCCTCACCCTTCTCTCGCCCGTCCTCGCCCAACCTCGCCTAACGTTCGCCCACCCTCCTCCCACCCTCGCGGACCCTCGCCCACCCTCGCCTCCCTCGCCCAACCGTCTCCC